GTAATTAATTAATTAATTAAACAAACAAATAAAACTGTGTCAAAAAAAGATAATATACATGACTTCCAAAACATAAATCCCTCTAAACAGAGATTTTTCTCATCTTATTTTACCTCCTTTGAATCATTTATGTAAATATGAGCTCCCTTTCTCATCAGTGGACATAGGCAGCTGAATAGCACTTCTTTTAAAAGTCTGTTTTATGAGCAAGTGCATTTCAGTGAGTGAATTCACCACCTGTGTGTGATTCATCAGCCACAGGAGTAATTTTAAAGAAGTTAAAGGAATTCAAGTGCCTAACTTGTATTTATATGTGTAAATTCCTACTGAAATCATTGGTCATTTGGCTTCAAGCACAGGAAATTGTATAATCAGATTTCACAAAACAAAAATCCTTGTCAATTCACACCCAGTTTTACCAGCTGTAGAATTCCACTGACTGCTCAATATTAGGCTCCTCAGTATTAAGCAATACATATTAAGCAGTACATAAAATCTGTAAAGAACCAATGTTACTGTGAATTGAACTATAATGAACATGCTAGAAAGTAGGCCTCACAGCTAGGCAAGAGAATAAGGGAAATGGTAGTCTAACTAGATTATGCAGAATCATATTCTGCAGAAAGTAGGAAAAATGTTAAACCTTGAAGAGAAATATTAACATTAATTTGGTCAGCATTATTTTTGAATATATGTTCTACCTATATACAGTCATAGAGATTATTTTCTATTTTTTTCCTTTCCTCTGTACTAAAAATATGTTTTGAATTCTTATTGAAAATATTCTAAAATGGTATTTCAGTTCCTCATAAAAGTTGGCAAAAGGTTCATCTGCACATTCAACAGCTCTCCGATTATGGTAAATGAGCAAAAAAATGTGCAAAATCAAATTTACCTTCATGATTCAAAGTTGAGTGGAAATAGTTCCTTTCTTAATTGAGGGGTAATTGCATGTTTTAGCAGAGAGTGACTGTGAAAAGCCTGGGGAAAAGAACAGTCCAGAAAATATTTGTATCTTGGAGCCATGCTACAGCCATGCTTTTTCCCTGAAGGTAAGTGGCAGAATAGTGGGCGTCAGAAATACTCTGCTTTTTTCACAGATATATTTGTGATTTCAGAAGAAAAATACTGGTTTTGCACTTACTGTTGTCTCTCATCATGATGAAGAACTATTTAATACTATGAAAGTGAAAACCAAATTCTCTCTAAATCTGTTTGCCTCTGTTTTGTTTCTCTGTCACTGTATATACATTCATTTTTCTCTTCCTTTATCCATCTCTGTGCATGTAAAGCCCTGAAATTGTAGCTGAGCCTTCTTCACGTAGGAGGTCCTCCTGAGATCTCCTCCAATCTGAATTGTTCTGAGTCTCTGTGTATATACTACCTCTTTACCTTTCTACCTATTCCTTCATATTGATGCAAGAGGTTTGTGTGTCTGTGTGCAGCACATGCTTCTTCATTCTTTGCTACCTGTTCTCCATCAGCTATAGACCAACAAAAGGCCATTTCCACTTGTTCTTCCAATCTCACTGTTGTGATTATTTGGTATGGTTCCACCATTTTTCTACACGTCACACCTTCCATAAAAAACTCATTTGATTTGACTAAAAATGTCCATGTACTGAACACAATTGTTACACCTTTGCTGAATCCTTTCATTTATTCTCTGAGGAACAAAGAGGTGAAAAAGCTTTGAAAAGAACAGTGCCGTTTCCATCATGGTTTGAATTGGGATCATCACTCAAAACAAGATATTGTGTTTCAGGGATTTTTTTGTTACTTTAAATACAGAGTTTATCTTAGAGATATGAGCAAGTAACATAACAGGTAAGAAAAGTGAAATAGCACCCCATTTTTTAGGAGGTTCTCTCTGTCACACAATTCATACAATTCCTTCCTTCCTTCCTTCCTTCCTTCCTTCCTTCCTTCCTTCCTTCCTTCCTTCCTTCCTTCCTTCCTTCCTTCCTTCCTTCCTTCCTTCCTTCCTTCCTTCCTTCCTTCCTTCCTTCCTTCCTTCCTTCCTTCCTTCCTTCCTTCCTTCCTTCCTTCCTTCCTTCTCAGAAAGCCCAGTACCCAAAGGTAGGTTACAAGGGTATCAAGTAATTTAAGACAACCCAGTAAGGAAAGCTGAACTCCTACTGATTAACTACCTGCATCACAGTGAAAGAAATGGAGCATTTAGTGTTTGATTCACCACATCACCTGTAAAAAGGGTGAGATAAATCCTACCATAGGTGTGCTTCTCTCTCCAGTAGAGATTTCTGAAGAAAGAAGGGAAGGGAAGGGAAGGGAAGGGAAGGGAAGGGAAGGGAAGGGAAGGGAAGGGAAGGGAGGGGAAGGGGGGGGAAGGGAAAGGAGGGGAAAGGAGGGAAAGGGAATTTCTGAAGAAAGAAGGGAAGGGAAGGGAAGGGAAGGGAAGGGAAGGGAAGGGAAGGGAAGGGGGTGGAAGATTCAAAGTAAACAAGTAGTCAGTTAAGACTGTACACTCCATTGTGAGAAGCTAGAACTGAATCAAACCTTCGTTACAAGATATAACACTGCCCCTCAAGGCATCCAGTTCAATTAGACAGTGTCAATAGTAGACTAATAGTAGGCTAATTCTGTCCTTTGAATCACACATCCCTTGATGTTTTTAGATATTTTTCAGACCCTTCCAGTTAACAGTGACCATCAACTGGCACAGGATGCACAATTCATGACATTAGACATGTAAGACATTATATGCCTAAGTCTGAAGGAGTCATTCTGGTTCCACTTTGCAAACAATGGAGGGAAAGTTGCAATTCAAAATAGCATTACAGCTGCTATTGCAAGTATAGTTGGCTTGTTACCTACTATGGCCCATAGAGGGAGCACGAAGTTCTTAATAACGAACTACGACACTTTTAAAATCACCTGAAATCCATCCCACCCGTAGGGGAAATAGGGATTTCAAGAGAGTCTATTTAATCCTGGAGTAAGTTATGTGTCAGAGATAGCTCAGCTGTTCTCTTCTTGGCCCAAAAAGAAAGATGCATTGATGTCTCTAGCTTTTCAGTTGCATCCAATTCAACTAAATTGAAAGAACTTTAGCAAATTCCTTTTTTTCTTCTCTATCAGGTTAGTCTTTGGCAACTGACATTATGGTATCTCTCTGAAGGGCAGGTAAATTCAATTTATGGTGCTTTTGAGAAAACCTGCCTCATGATGTTCCATGAAATATATCATGTACTAATGTCACAGATTATTCAAGCTATGGCAGGAGAGCATCTGTATTTAAAATTCAATTTTAAATCTGAAAGATAAGCTGACTGTAGGAGACATCAGCCCAACACCGTTCCTAAAGTAAAAAGATAAATTAAATTCTTTTAGTGAATTGAATTGAATGATGACAGAACTGCTGAAGGTAGGGTACTTATTTCAAAATGCTTATTGTAAATACGGAATGAAAATCAAAGGAAGAACTAAGAACAAAACTTAAAGGTCGTCATAGCCACTAAACAAGGATTACATGAAGTAAGAGTTGTTTATGAGAGCTGTTCTGAAGAATAAAATGCTAACCTATCCATAAAACAATGACTGCTGTGAGTTTTACTTGTTTTAATTAACAGCTAATGACCAAAACAATAGTCTGAAGCTTTCGTAAGGAGTGGAAGAACAGAATTAGTTAGATTTTACTTCAGCTACATGGATCTAACAAGTTCATAAAACTACTGTGAAAGTGTGCCATTACAAACTGCAGGGAAATTTTAATGTCATTCTCTACTATGTTATGCACAGATTATATTGAGGCATCTCTTCAAATTTGGAACTTCAAATAACATAGTGTTCTTTCCTTTCTATGTTGATGGAAACAGTCAAAACGAGAAAGATTCCTTTTAAATACATCAGACCTTTAAATGCCTAAGAATGTTACAAGTTTCTTTATTGTGTTTGTAAGTTAAAACCATCTGGGGCTCCCAGATACGCAGCTTTCACTTTAACATTCCTGTTAGAAAACCCAGAGACAAAAGGCATCTTGTGTGAGAGAAGTTATAGCAGAAAGAGAAGTTAGATGGAGCCAGTATGAGGAGTGACTGATTCACGATAGGGTTGTATGCACTGCTCTTGCTTTGATGATGTGTCCTTCTCTGTGTGCTGCAGTGTGTTGGCCAGGTTCACGTGTGCATGGTGTAAAAGGTGCTTCCCCCCCTCTGTGTCCTGGTTTGAGCTAAATAGAACTAATTAATTTGGGTATATTTCTGCTGTCTAAATGCATTCTATGCCTTGGGATTTACTAGTGTAGTCCAGTGTTTGGTTGGTCCTCTGGGGAGAGATGACAAGTCTGAAGAATGCAGAATTAATGAGCACATTCTTCTCTGTGACAGACTAATTTCTTCTCTCTACCTGTGCATCAGCTTCCATTTCTGGGCAGTAAGAAAACACAAAGCTGCCACTGCTGGCACAGAGCTGCAATGAATACCCACAGCAGCACTCAGCAGGCAGTACTGAGCTTCACCCTCTACACTTTATTAGTGTTCTCTATGGGTATCTTTCCCTCTAATTACTCCTTCTTCCTTTGCCTGTCTATAGACAAAGAGTATTGGGTTTTGCTTGGTTTTGCTTTCTTTGGACTGTGGTTGTTTTGGTTGTCAGCTGGGCTTTTCATTCAGTGCAGAAAGAGCCTATGGAAGCAGTTGGGACCACAGACCTGACATTTGTATGGAGCAGAATCAACTCTACACCTATAATGGAGCCAACCCTTAAATGCCAGCTCCTATTAGTTGTTTCTATTAGTCACTATTGCAAAGTATGAAACTTAGAGTGCACTAACATGACAAGCTTTCAGCACACACATACATCACCTTCTTTGTTCAGCTAAGCTCACCTAGAATTGCACCCTTCGATCCCGAGGTTCTCCAGGGATTCCCAAGAGACTCCTTGCTTCAGTAATTGGTTGAAGTACCATGATCTTGGTGCAGTGACTGCCACTCTGACAGTCTGCCCATTTGATTCTTCCCAGATGAAGCCAACAGAAGGACATGAGACAGGAAACCACTCTGCTGACTGACTTTGTCCTCTCTGGATTGTTCAACCACCCAGAACTGCAGCACCTGCTGTTCTTCACATTCTGCTTAATTTATACCATCACCATCACTGGGAACCTTCTCATCTTCATGGTTACAGTGCACCTGATGCTCCACATGCCCGTGTATTCCTTCCTCCACATCCTGTCCTTCCTGGATATTTCCACAGCATCAGTTGTTGTTCCCAAGATGCTGGTAAACCTCTTGTCAGAGGACAGGAACATTTTCTACATGGGCTGTGCCACTCAGCTCTACTGTGTGATTTTCTTAGTAACCACTGAATGCTACCTTTTGGTAGCCATGGCCTATGACCGTTATGTGGCCATATGCAACCCCCTTAGATATGCAGTCATCATGAACAGTAGAGTTTGTTTTACCTTGGTTCTGCTGTCATGCTGCAGCAGTAATGTTGTGTCTGTGGTGCAGACAGCTTGAGTGTTCACATTGCCATTCTGTGGGCCCAGGAAGAATAACTACTTCTTCTGTGACATTCCCTCACTCATTATACTCTCCTGCACTGACGTCTCTTCGTATGAAAAGCCACAGTGATGGTCATCTTTACACCATTTTGTCTCATCCTGGTGTCCTATGGATGCATCATCTACAGCATCCTGAAGATTTCCTCTGCAGAGGGCAGACACAAGACCTTCTCGACCTGTTCCTCACACCTTAGGGTTGAAACACCGTATTATGCAAGTGGGACCTTGATTTACTTATGGCCAAAATCCAGTAATTCACAGGACACTAAGGAAGTCCTAGCTCTCATATACACGACCATAGTTCCCACATTAAACCCTCTGATTTACAGTCTGAGAAATAAAGAAGTGAAAGGAGTACTAAGCAGAATGATGGCTGAGTTGATGAAGAAATTAATCTTTTCTGTGAATGGGTGGTTTAAAAATGATATTTCCATATTTGGTGAGTGTGTAAGGTTTACTAGTTTACTAGAAACACCAGAAACAAAAAGCTATTTCTTACATGAAAATATTTTGTTCTTATTCTTGGCTTCAGAAATAAATTATTTAGAATTTGCTTTTCTCCCTTAGGAATCTGAAATGTGTACCAGACAGTTCTTCTAAATCAGAGCACCCATAAACCACTCCACTTTCCACATCTTCTTCAGATATTCAGTCTTGAAATCCTCACTTTCATTACAGGAGCTCAGCTACCCCTCTCACTAAAGAAACAGTCTTTTACATTGAACGTTTAAGTATAACCATACACAAATTGGTAGTGAGTATGTGGGTTTTTGACATTTTTTTCCCCCTCCAGCAGAAAAGAGATCCACTGAATGAATCATAGAATCATTGAATGGTTTGGGCTGGAAGGGACCTTAAATCTCCCCCAGTTCAACCCCCCTGTCATGAGCAGGGACACCTCCCATTAGACCAGGCTGTTCCAAGTCCCATCCAACCTGGCCTTGAGCAATTCCAGGGAAGAGGCATCCACAACTTCAAACTGCAACCTGTTTTAGTTACTCACTACTCTCAGAGTAAAGAATTTCTCCCTAATAGCTAACCTAAATCTCCCCTCTTTCAGTGATAAAACTTTTAAAGTGATAATGATAAAGTGATAAAGAAATTACTTTATTTCTTTAAGAGACTGATGTTTTTTATTGAAGGTGTGATTCCGCCTTTGACAAAGGAAAGGAAGAGAAACTAATGCTCATTCCTTGTTTCCAGCAAGAACTAAGCATTTTATATAGTACAGTGCCCACAAGCATCTTGCAGTCTGAGTCATGGGGTAATTACCATTCTACATCTCTCAGCTGGAGAAACTGACCCAGGCATGACAACAGGACAGTTCCAAGATGAGTAGCTCAGATGTCCACAAGCACACAGAACAAAGAGATGCTATGACCTTGGAGGATTTATTTGGAAGGAAGTTGAAAACCAGCATTAGTTTTCTCTAAGAGAGAATGAAACAGAAACTAGTTTCCTGCATGGCCAAGGAAAGTTCTGTGCCCATGTCTTAGTTTGAGATAAATAGAACTAATTCTCTATTTAGTGTTTTTACTTTTCAATTAAGTCTCTTCTAAGTGACTGTACTTTCTGAAACTAACAGCATGTTTTTCCCGACAGTTTAATGTTTACAGTTACTATTAGGTATGGTATGTACATATAGTTCTTGCTTATGTTTGCGCCTATGGAGACTATGGCCACTGCCACATCATGGGTGTCATATTGGACTGTCTTAAGTAAGGTGATGCACCTGTGGGGAGGAGTGGGCAGGACAGATGACCCAAAACTGACCAACAAGGTATTCCATCCCACATACATCATACTCAGTATAAAGCTAAGGTATCATGATGGTCAAGCTCTTATCTTCCTTTTCTCTTTTGCTATGGCCAATGTCCAAGCAGAACTGTGGTAATTCATCTGCCTTTGATCTGTGCATTCCTGAATCCAGTTCCTGAGTCCTGCTCCCACTGCTGCTGAGTCCAGTCTGGGACTATTCCAGTGCCCTGCTCCGCAGAGCCTCTGGCAATGTAATAGTCACTGGGGGGTGGAGGGATGATTTAATATTGGTTTTGTATATATTTAAATATTTTCCTATTTACATTATTATTTTTTCATATTATTGTTTTATTAAACCTTTCCTTTTCTAGCCTGTAAGTGTCTCTCCCTTGATGTGCTGGAAAGCAGCTCTGAGAAAAAGGACCTGGGGGTACTGGTGGATGAGAAAATGGACATGATCCACCAATGTGCACCCGCAGTGTGGCCAGCAGGTGGAGGGAGGTGATTCTGCCCCTCTGCTCTGCTCTGGTCAGACCCCACCTGCAGTGCTGCATCCAGCTTTGAAGTCCCCAACACAAAAAGGACATTGAAGTGCTGTAGCAGGTCCAGAGGAGGCCATAAAGATGATCAAAGGGCTGGAGCACCTCTCCTATGAAGATAGGCTGAGAGAGTTGGGATTGTTCAGACTGGAGAAGAGAAGGCTGTGGGGGGACCTTTGAGTGACGTCCCAATACCTGAAAGGTGCCTATAAGAAATCTGGGGAAGAGCTGTTCACTAGGGCATGTAGTGATAGGATGAGGAGTAATGATTTTAAACTAGAAAATGGTAGATTTAGGTTGGATATTAGGAAAAAGCTTTTCAATATGAGGGTGGTAGATCACTGGCAGAGGTTGCCCAGAGTGGTAGTGGAGTTCCGACCTTTGCAGATATTCAAGGCCAGGCTTGGTGGGTCTCTGAGCAACCTGATCTGGTAACAATGTCCCTGCTCACTGCAGGGGGGTTGAACTGGATGAGCTTCAAAGGTCCTTTCCAACCCAGCACATTCTAGGATTCTATGATTCTATGATCTTTTTGTTTCCCTTCTGGGAAGGGGAAAGGGGTTAATAGAGAGTGTCTATCAGTCATTTAATGCCCAGCCCAGCCCTAAACCTTGACAGTCCATAAGTGACCATGTGAAAGAGTGACATCACTCCATATATGCCAATTCACATGGTAATCTGAGCACCTGGCCAGATTTTCCAAGGAGCTCCTGTGTTCTGTTTCTTCTCCAGTGCAGCACAGAGAAAGCTTCCACCCATATGGCCAGGCTCCAGATTTGTCATTCTGGTTTCCAAGACTGACTGGGAGCAGAATTTGTGGTTCAGGAATGGGGGAAAAAGAAAAACCCAATAACCCAACAAAAACCCTAAAAGGCCTTCATGAGTATACATCTGCAGATCTAGTTTAGTGAGCTGTTTATACACACACATGGTGGGGGGCAGAAAGACCATGAGGAGCAAAAAAAATCCTCTCTTGGAATTCGTTGCCACTAGGCTAAGTTTTCTTCCTTCAGAAATGCAGATGACACCAAGCTCTGTTGTGCAGTTGACACACAGGAAAGAAGGGATGCCATCCAGAGGGACCTGGACAGGCTGGAGAGGTGGGTCCATGCCAACCTCATGGAGTTCAACAAGGCCAAGTGCAAGGTCCTGCCCCTGGGTGGGACAATCCCAAGCACAAATACAGGCTGAGTGGAGAATGGCTCAAGAGCAGTCCCGAGGAGAAGGACTTGGGGGTGTCAATTGATGAAAAACTCAACATGAGCCAGCAATGGG